TCGGTTCACCTTGCATCGGCAGCGCAGCAATGCGATGTCCGCGTGCTGCCATCTGCGAACAGAACAAATTCAGCACGGTCCACGAGTGGGATGGCGAGGATGAAACCGAGGAGGTGAGGAGAGTCTGATGCCGAAGTAACAGAACCCCCTTCTCCTCCTCCCCAGCCTCCTCCTACCTGAGGGAAGGGGAAGGAAACCTCCTCTCCCTTCCTGAGGGCACGCGAAAGGGCGGAACCACCTCTTCTTCCTTCCTGAAGGAAAAGGGAAGAACGGAATTTCCACCTCCTCTTTATGAGCGAAAGGAAATGGAAGGAACCTCCTCGTCTTCCTCCTTCCTGAGGGAATAGCAAAGGGAAGGACCTCGTCCCTCTTCTTGATGGAAAAGGGGAAGAGAAGAACCTCCATCTCCTCTATGAAGCTTCGTCTCCGCCTCATGAAAATCTTGAAAACGCAGGCCCCCGTTGCGCCCCCGAAGCCCCAAGCGGTGTCGCTCTCTAGCACCGCGCCGCAGTCCTGCCGACGGCGCTCCACGGCGCTCTTAGGCGGAGCTAACCAACACTGCCGCCACAAGAAAAAAAAGGGCTGCGGCAGACTTGGCGTATATTCTGATGATTCTGGCCCGGCCCCACCCCACGGGTAGCGCGGGCATCGCGCCAGCGTGCGGCAGCGCCCCAGAGGCAGAGCAGCTAACCAGATCTGCCATTGCCGAGCTCATAGAGGTGTTTTGCCTCGTTTCGCGAGGCAAGAAGACGTATCCACAGTGAGCTAAATTGGTAGGCGAACGCCACTCGCAAAAGTCGTCGAACACAGCCCCCTAAGCCAAAAACCCTGAGGGCAACGCCCGAAGCCAAAAGACTTTGCCCTCGAAGCCATTTTGGTCAGTGGTACGTTTGTGCGTTTGTAGGCATCGTTGTTGCTCATCTCTTCGCTAAATCTCGTCTTCTTCTAGCACTCATGACCTTACCATGTCGACCATCACCTGCCAGGGCACGGCTGTGGGGGAACTTAGACTGTGCTATATCTGGGCGCAAGATCGTCCCCAACCACCCAGTGCCTCGTACTTCGACGTGGGGTAGGACAAGTCAAGGTTGCGGGGAGCGCTGACGATATGGTATACAGCCCCAGTGCTTAGCACGAAGTCGATCCTTTGATAACCCACGGCATGATGTCCACCTGCGTTGGTACTGAACTTTGTCGGCCACTGTGACATGCTGAACGTAGTCCTCTTGATCTCGCCAGATGTCGAGCCTGCACCAGGATCACCCACACTGTGGAAGAGCCACTGTGGTGCAGACCAACACACACACACCGATCAGTACTTGCAGTTGGGCTCCTGTTCTGCTACCTCTCCACTTGACGTTGCTACTCGCAGTTTCAGACACAACGGTGAACGGGCCAGCCGCAAACGAAGGCACAGGGACTGCTTTCTATCTGGGCGCAAGTTGATTGCTATACACCCAGTACTTCATAGAGCGATCGTGTTTCGACGTGGGGTAGGACAAGTCAAGGTTGCTGGGTGCACGGGCGACAGGCACACGAGTATTACCGACCACAAAATCCATGCGCGAGTAACCCAAGGCATCGCTCCCGCCTGCTCCGATGCTCATCTCTGTTGGCCATTCGCTCATGGCGACCCACTTGCTCACTGCCTGGCCTGATGTCGCAACTGCACCGGGATCACCCACTCTATGGAAGAGCTACATTCTATTCGTCCAGTGGCCATTTAACCTTACAGCATCAGAGCTCCGGTGTTACTACCGCTTCACTTGACGCCGCCACTCATAGCTTCAAATTCGACTGAGAACGAACAAGAAACAGCCATCATAAATCTCCTCGGCTGTAGCCTCGCCGTAAGCTGTGGCTTCCCCTGTGTATGTCTCCACAGATGCCCGCAAGGTGCAACTCAGAATCACCAGACCAAATGCTGCTAACAGAGCACGCCCACGTGTCAACATGGAACGAGCAGGCGGCGCCTCCTTCGGTGTCAAGGGAACCTCCTCCATTGTGAAAAGATGGGAGCTTAAGCGAGCGAGACGTGTGCTGATGGCAACAATCTCTCAAGCCCAGAAACTTGAGCGCCAAAATGACTACTGGATTCTTCCACTCTTCTTGGGTTGCCGAAGGTCCGCGTGGATTCTTGGATCGGCGCAGGACCTCCTGCATGGCGCGCGGAGCGCGCTATGGGCGGCGCCGCCAGGGGAGGGTCCAACGCCGACCCAAGAACTCCGCGCGGACCTCCGAACATTTGTGGCCATATTTTCTACCTTCGGGAGGAAGCCCATACAGTGGAGGCCGGTCCACAAGAAACCTTCCACAAGAAGCCCAAACCCGATACCCTAGAGCGTCCGCCGGTTTTTAGCATGGAGACGTCACGCCTTCCTTCTAGCAGAGCCATCGCCACCCAAGAAGCCCAGAGCACCCTGGAGGCGAGCAGGGTGTTTCTTGGCATGGGCCTCCACTGTAACCGGGGGGAGGAGGAGGAGGAGGAGGAGGAGGAGGAGGAGGAGGAGGAGGAGGAGGAGGAGCAGGAGCAGAGGAGGAGGAGGAGGAGGAGGAGGAGGAGGAGGAGGAGGAGGAGGAGGAGGAGGAGGAGGAGGGTCGCTCCAGGTCCCACTTTTGGTGGCGCCCCGCGCTCCAGCCCTACTCGGCGGGCGCGGCGCGGGCCACGGCCGTGAGGCTCACGAGGTCGATCACGCCGACGGAGCCCGCAGCGCCGAATTTGGAAGACATTTGCCTGCCGGACCGGTGGCGTCCTCCTCCTCGTCCTCAACCTCGTCCTCCTCTTCCTCCTCCTCCTCCTCCTCCTCCTCCTCCTCCTCCTCCTCCTCCTCCTCCTCCTCCCTCCTCCTCCTCCTCCTCCTCCTCCTCCTCCTCCTCCTCCTCCTCCTCCTCGGACCGGTGGTGAAGGTGGGCCCGGGGCAGAGGTGGGGCTAGAGGGACGTCTCTCTACACGGACCCCTGGAATGAGGACGTGTGAAAGTCGGGCTGGGCGCTCGCATCCAGCCCCGCCTGGGGACCACCCAGGACGAGAGCGGTGTCATGATGCGATCGGCTCAGGATTCGTTTCTCAGGAGTTCTGGAGCGTCGGGCGGCCCGCGGAACATCCTGGGAGATCTGGGACATCCTGGAAACATCCCGGAAACCAAGGACATCCTGGGGGAACCATCCTTGCCCTGACCTCCTGCTAGAAGGAGCCCGCAAGAGACGTACGCGCCCAGCCGTGCGCATGAACACCCTCCCCCCCAATCTGCGACGCTGGCCTCGTAATGCGAGCGTTCGCGCATGGGGTCATCTCGAAGCCAGCGCGGATTCACGTCCGTGTGCGTCCTTCCTGCCCTGTCGGGTCGGGCGAAAGGGGGGATAGTAAAGGGGGGGTTTGAGAATCAGCTCACGTAGCTGATTTTCCCGGCGCCTCCCGGCGCCAGGAGGCGCCCGTGTATCGAGGAATGGGCCCAGCGGCGGGGCCGAAGCCAGCTGCATGCAGCAGGTTTCGTACCCCCCCCTTCCCCTATATCCCCCCCTTTCGTCCGGCCCGACCCTGCGAACCCCCGCGCCTGGGCGCGGGGGGCCCGCCGGTGCCGCTCTCGGAGACCTGCGGCCTCGCTCCGCGCGGGGGCTGTGGCCGGGCCTGAGTGAGAGAGAGAGCAAAGCACCCACCGCCATAGGAAGCACCCCGACAGGCGAAGGCGTCTACTGGCCATCGCTCGGACGTCCATTCCCTGTGTTTTTTTTTCGGTTTCGTGCGTGGTTTTCTCGCCGAAATGATCAAGGATGCTCCTCGATGGTCCTCGCCGAAGGAAAAATGCACACGTCCGAGCGATGCCAAGTCTAGTGCACGCACCCATGGAAGGAACCGGGCAGGCCAGGGCTGTTCAGCAAGCGCCAAGGGCCGTTCAGTAAGAATGCCAATGATCGGGTCGGGGTGGTTTTTCCGCCCTAGAGGAGTGTCTGGTTGGTCACTCGGCCGATGTCACACCACCCGATCACGCGATCTGACCGCAGCCCCGATGGCGATGGCCACCTCGCCGATCACGGCCCGATTTCACGCATATCCCAGCTCAGACGCTCGAGTGACCCAGCCGAGAGCCGATCACGTGAGCGGCGACCACGTGCTCCCCCGCATCGCCCAGCGCGTCAGCAGAGCAGACATTTTGAGGGCCGGGCCCAGCGTGGCGAGGCGGACGCCGAGGCTACCGCCGCCCTCGGCACCAGCCCGCCGGGCCCGCCGCCCGCCGCCCGGGCGCCGCCTGCTGCCGCTGCTGCGCTGCACGGCCTGCCCGCCCTGGCGGCGCCGCGCGCGCTGCTGGCCGCGCCGGCGCCGCGCGGGCTGCGCGCCGACCCGGCGCTGGCGGCCAGGTCCAGGGCTGCAGGGCGCGCCCTCGGCTTGGGGGCCGCCGCCGAGAGCCCCCGCGGCGCATCGGCGGTCGGCGTCCGGGCCTCGCCTCGCGCGAAGAGCCCCTCCGACCTGAGCTGCCCCGCTGCACAGCGTGCGGCCCGCTGCGCGTGGGGATGGGGCTCGAAACGTGGGCTGAAAACGCGCAGGTCTGGCGGGATGTGTTCGTCAGAACGTGGGCCGACACGTGGCGAGGCAACACGCACCGTGTTCCCAGACGCCCGACGTCATGAATTTTTCATACCTGGAAGTCTCGACCCATTCCCCGGGACAGGTTTTTCGTCCCGAGTCGTTTCTGGACGGTCCCGAGGCCTGGGGAGGGCCTCCAAAGGTCGAAGACAGCGAAAGCCTGCCGTCGTGATTTTCTCCATGACTCGAGGGGGCCTGGGTTCTGGGCGGATGTCTTGAGCACAGTCCGTGCGCAGCAGGGCAGCTGAGCCTCCCGCTGCGCTGGCCTCGCAGCCTCGAGGCCCCGCCCTCGGGGCGCCGCCACGGCGCTGCGCGCCCGGCCCGTGGGGGCGTCGCCGCGCGGGCTGCCCGCGGCCCTGCTCGGGCTGGCCGCCGCCCCCCGCGGCATGCCGGCCGCGCCGGCGCCGCGCGGGCTGCCCGCCGACCCGACGCTGGCGGCCGGGCCCGCAGCTGCAGGGCCTGCTGCGGCCCGCGACGCGGGCGTGAGGGCCGCCCACGGCCCCTGCTTGGCGGCGCGCACAAGGGGGTATGGGGGAGGGGGTGCACGGCTTCCCCTGGGGCCGCAGGCGACCCGAGGAGGAAAAGGGAGGGAGGAGGAGGAGGGAGGAGGAGGAGGAGGAGGAGGAGGAGGAGGAGGAGGGAGGAGGAGGAGGAGGAGGAGGAGGAGGAGGAGGAGGAGGAGGAGGGAGGAGGAGGAGGAGGAGGAGGAGGAGGAGGAGGGAGAGGAGGGGAGGAGGGAGGAGGGAGAGGAGGGAGAGGAGGGAGAGAAGGAGTGGAGGAGGAGGAGGAGGAGGAGGAGGAGGAGGAGGAGGAGAGGAGGAGGAGGAGGAGGAGGAGGAGGAGGAGGAGGAGGAGGAGGAGAGGAGGAGGAGGAGGAGGAGGAGGAGGAGGAGGAGGAGGAGGAGGAGGAGGAGGAGGAGGAGGAAGAGGAGGAGGAGGAGGAGGAGGAGGAGGAGGAGGAGGAGGAGGAGGAGGAGGAGGACGCCTCGGATGACCTGTCATGCAACCAACAACGGGAGCATGGGCCAATCATGTGGGCCCAGCTCGTTTACCGTGGATTCCCAGGGGAAAAAGCGACGGGAAACAGAGCGGGCCAAAGAAACTCATCAAAACAGTTTGAGCTGCTGGCCATTCTTGGGGTTCTTACCCGCCTTGATGGCCTTAATAGCATGCCGCTGCTTATACAGTGTGGGGGGGTGCTGAGAAGGGCCCAGACAGCAGCCTCCAAGCTTCGAGTGCCCCGCACGCCCAGCATTAAGCTGGTACGACCCACACAAAGTACAAACCATAGCACCAAGATTCGAGAGAATTCGGTGGCCATCTAACTCTACAGTGTCATCTGAACACTGCAGCTGAGCCCCCGACGGACCAGGAACGACAGGGTCTTCGGGTGGGCTGAGCTCCTGCGCAAGTCCTAGCGCAACGTTGACCGCCTCACTCCTGTAAGGCAATGCACGCTGCAATACAACATCGTTGCGAGCCTGGAGCTTTTGTTGCTCCGTGGGCTCACACTTAGCATACTTACTGGTACGCGCCACGAGTTTCAACAAACTGGCTGGGGTCCGAGCCGTGGCCAAACAGGTCTTGCACTGCCAGACCCCAGGACTGCGGATGACCACATCATGCACACGCAATCCTACCTGCTGTACAGGGATCGGGGGGCCACCTAACTTGAGCCTCTCGGGTCTACTGCTGGTGGAGTCCCTGGTGATGAGCTTAGCTTCCGCCCAGGAGAAGAACTTAGCATTCAACTTCTCTTGACTCAGCCTGGCCTCGAACATTTGGACCGTCGATTTGTGCACAGCGTGCATGTTGGCCCCCTCCCTTGCGAAAAAATCCGCCCACATGTTCCCGAGCAGAAATTCAAACGGGAGGGTGCCGAAGTGTACCTCCAGGTAACTCTCGATCGTGATGTGCGCAGGCGTCCAGCAGGCTCTGGGCCGACGCTTGTCGTCAGCAGCATGAAAGATGTGCCTCCAGATATCCGCGTATGTCGAATTCGCATCTTCCTGGTCGTGGTGCCAGGAATTCACTTCAGCTGCCAGGCTCTGGAGATCTGTCACCAGTAGGTCCACAGCAGGTAAAAGCCTGAGTGCCATGAGGAAAGCCATTCGCTCCGATCTCCCGACCGTTTGTATCGGACCCTCGAGGGGCCCATATGCAGCACGAACAGGTAGCCCGTTGTCCCCCATGACGACGAACGACCACCCACATCTACGAATCTCAGGCCACGCAGGGGCCAGCCCCGAACCATCTGAGAACTTCTGTCAGACTCCCAGTCACCCCAGCAGACGTACTGCAACTTGGACTCCACATACGGTGGGATGAGAGGGCTCACAGGTATGCCTACTGCCGTGGCAAGACAATCCCAGTCGGGCTCTCCAAGGGCCTTCTGTCCGAGCTCCCTTAGCATATCATATGTGTACTGCATATCAGTGTTCCAGTCGAGATCGGGCTCCTCAGGCAGGTCATCATAAAAACTAGGACAGCAAAAGAACTCGTGCCCAATGGTCGATTGCTCCGCTGCGCAGTAGATGCAAGCAGGGGAGATCTGGTACCCTTTGGCAGCCAGTCTGGGACGTGACCAAATAGAGTCGGACCACAGTGCACGAAGCGCGCCTGCAAATCGTGGGTGCCTGACCACTGCCTTCTTAGCACCAATGCATCTTCTCATAGCTCTCATCCATATGACCTCATCCCCATAGCATACCTCCTTGTGATGTGTAAGTATTCGCATGCCTTGCCATCGCTCGATGCCTTGCCTGACCAACTCCAGCACGTCCTTGGGACAGAGCTGAAGGAGGTCAAACGTGTGACCTAGGTCGCTGTAGATCCCCGTGGCGGAATACATGCCCCATCCTATTTTCCTCAAAGACACCATGCAACAGCAATGGGCCCCCTTGCCGAGGTCCAAGAAGCCTTAATCTTGAGCCCCTCATCCACCTTCATCCAAGCCCTCTGCAGTCTCCCAAGGCAAACTCTGTTGTCCCAGACGAAGCTGCAGTAGACCTTCAGGGGGTCCGTAGTGGCATTGTATATTGGGTCGTGCTTGGCGTCAGCCTGCGTAGCCAGATATACAATGAGAGAGGCAACTGCCGTCGAACGGCCACATAACATGCCAACAACAGAGCGTACACGGGCAAGCTCTTGGTCGCTGACTCCTGATACAGTCGCGCCGTGCGCAGCAGCTGGAAGGAGTCCTGTTCTCCAGATCGCGGTGACTCTGTTGCCAGCCGCCTTCTGGAGCATAATAAGCCTTGGGGGCCTGTCCTGCAAGCCCTTCATCCTAGCCTTAGCTTGTTTCCTCACAGGAACTGGCCCACTAAGTTCATGCCCAAGATTTCGGACCCACTTTTTGCTTTTGGGGTTGATCCTTGAGGCCAACTTGCGGAACCCAGGGTGCCCCATCCTAGTGTTGGGGACCCAGCCCGATTTCTTGACCTGCAGCAGGAGCCCCAACTTGGCCGAATCCTTGACGAAACTCTGGACCCCCAAGAACAACTCAGCCGAAGAAGCCCCCGACGGCCCAACCCATTGGAACGTGCTGTCATCCACGAGCGCTCTCGGGGTCACGTTGGGGGCTATCTGGTGCACCTTCATGAGGGCCCTGTAGGTGAGGATGGTGAGGAGGGTGGTGGCGTGGGTGCAGCCCGCGAGGATGCCCTGGTACACCACCACCTGCTTGCTCCAACATCCAAACGCCTTTATAACTCTTGGCTGGGAATACGAGTTGATTAGCATCCATAACAAACGAAGCGGGAACCCCAGGCACCTGGCTTCATCAAGCAATGCAGGGAACAGCACTGTCTCGAAACATTTCCACCTATCGAGAAACACCGTGACTGAACTCTCTCCCAGAGAAGCAGCAATCTCCGCCTCTAGGTTGTGCGCAAACGCAGAATAACTGGAGGAGTGTCCCCTCCTATTGCCCCAAATGAAAGGGCTCCCATGCTGGACAATCCATGTTCTTGAAATCGGGCGCCTTGCTCGCGCCCGCAAACGTACTAAACTCTCTACTAAAGTGATCAGCCGCGTGCCTCCATCGGGCTTGGCAAGCCTAACCATCTCATTGACTATTCTCTGTGTCGGCCAGTGCAGCATCCGCTCGCATGTGTGGTACAGTGTGCAGGGCGCCAGCAAGCCAACATCAGAGAGGAAGAAAAAGGCACGAGGGTGCAGCCTCGTCGGCCCAGTGGCCGTCGCCCACGTGAACGTGAGGGCTGCCCTGGACAAGTCTTCTGGCCGAAGAGGAGGAAGATTCTCCCATGAATGCGCATCACTAGGCAATGCTGGCTCACCCTGTCCATGACAAGACCATGCCTCATGCCAGACATCCATTTCCCTGTCGGCCATCTGGTACGGTTGCATTCTGTCGGTGTGCGCCACTGCTGCCTCCAACGCCTTGACCTTAGACGTGCGATGCGCAGGGCCTGCACCTTTCTTGAATGCCATGTCGATCCAAGACTTCCAGCTGTCCTCCACCTTCTTTTTATGCACTTGGTGAACTTCATCTGTACGCTCGACGATGCGGTATATCTGCTGCTCGAAGTCGTCCCTTCCTAGCAGGGTGATGCCATCTAGGAAGAAATTCTGAGTCTCCTCATCCAGGTGACTCATCATGTGGTTCTGCTGCCCCACTATCTTGAGCAAAAAGCGATATGTGTCCACCAGCGAACGAGCCAATCTATCAATGGGATTCTGACTCGCTGGTGCTCGCTGCTTCCTGGACTGCGTTCTGCCAGGATTACCTGGGTCCTCGCGTGGCCTCGAGGCTGACGCAGTCGTCGCGGTCGCCGAAGTAGTACCCGTAGGCCCTCTACCAGGGGCAGAGACATCACAGGTCGTAGTTGCAGTACGCGGCGCCATCGGCCCTCCAGCGATACCACCGCACGGGGTCACTGAGCTGAGAGCCGCGGGCATGCGCGGATCAGCAGAGGACACGCGCCGCGGGGCAGTCTCGTCCTTCATAGGGCGTAGGCTGCATGACCCACTCGTAGATGCCCTCTGTGATCTCGATCTGCTGGTGACCGTCGTCCAGTTATCATCTGCCTCTGATTCATCTCTCATGGGAGCTGCGGCAACAAGTGCCAAGGATGGCTGTCGGCTAGTCCAGGGCGAGCTGTAATCAGGAAGGTGAAATTCGCCCGCACGCCTCTCATCACGTACAGCTTCCTGCACCAATTTGACCCAGAAGGCTCGCACTCTCGTGAGATGTTTCGCCTATCTGGCCGCAGCCTGCCAAGCTAAGGCATTCGGCCCGAGGCCTCCCGCCTCACTCTTGGGGGTCCAGTGTGCTTCAACAAACTTGGTGTCTCTCGGGCCCGCTCTGCCCCTGCACGGAGCAGCCTCATCGTCAACCACGTCGTATCTGTTGAGAATCTCAAATTCCACTCCAGTAATGGCTGCATCCCAAGCCATCCTTAGCGTGTCGTCATCATGAGCACGTAGAATGGTGTCCATCACGTGATCCCAAATCATGGGGTATCGCGAACAACCTGGCTT